ACTCTGATGAACAAAGGCTCCGAGCTCTTTGAAGTCGTGACTTTGATCAATTTGTCCAGGTACACAACGCCGTACATCACTATCATCCCGACACTTGAGCATCTCGATGAGATGGATAACCAATGTACGCAGCTTCCGGATGATGTCGCCGAGTTTTTCCAGGTCAACGCGCCATCGATTGTCATTCCCCCGGAGTGTGTCAATGACATCAAACTCACAGACTATAAGATGCTCGTCAGCGATCTTCGGGATGAGCTTGAGCAGCTGCGCAGTGATAACGCAGCGTTGCGCAGACAAACGGAGGCGCTTATGCAAAAGCCTCAGTTTTTCGAGGTACTGCTCAGCATCTTTAGCGTAGCTTTGGATGTTGCATTAAAAATACTGTTGGTTGTGTAGGATAATTCACCTCTTTCTTTTCTTAGGATATAAAAACATGCCGGAAACAAACTTCATCCAGTCTTCAACACCGGATCTTTGAAGCCTTACAAGGACGCCACTCGGATGTCAAGGCCCCATGATGTCGTTCTCGCCGATGGTACAGTTGGACAACTCATCCAGAGGATTCTCGGTAAACGAACTCACAAGCAACGAACTCAATTTCTTGTGGAGTGGGTGGGTGAGGAGAAACCTACTTGGGAGCCAGTCGAGAATCTCTCACAGGTCCCGGATCTCATTGGAGACTTCGAAGCATCCAGGAGAAGGAAGCGGCGAAGAAGATGAACGACAACGGCAGGAGTAAAGGGGGCCCGAGAGCCTACATGTATTCCCAAATTACATTCCCTACAACTTCTGCTGCTTCTTCTCGCGGCGAGCTTTCTTTCGATTTGGCCTGGACTTTCGTCTCCCGCGGCGGCAACGATACCCTGGATTCAGCTTCATCAATCCCATCCATTTGACCTTGTCGAGATACGCCAAGTTGGTCAAAGGTTCCGGGGTCACCGGCAGCTCAACGCCATCCAGTACGGAAACAGCAGTGTCTAGACCCTTCGCGAGAACAGCAACGCAGTGTCCGACGAGGCCATCACCAATACTCGTGAGATACACTCCTTCACGCAGTGTTTGGACAGACGTCTGGAACCGTTCCACATTCGTGTACGAAGCATCAAGTGGACTCTGGAAGAGAAGATCGTAATCCAACGGAAAATCGTTGCGCTGAAGAACGCGAAAGAATTCCGTAGCTTCCGCACGAGAAACTCCATCGATAGTGCTTGGGTGATCACGCACGAAATCCATCCATAGCGCAGTGGCCGTGGATGCAAGACCAGTATCACCAAGGTGATAAAGTGCCGCGCGGAACGCGTCCATGAAGCATCCTCCAGCAGGAGAAGCCTGATCACGGCGCGCAAAATGCTTCTTGTAATAATAGGCGAAGGCACCTGGACACAGATGGTCACGCCATTGCATCACTTGATCCATGCGCCGAGCGAAGCGTTGGTTGAGTTGCTCTTCCCATACCCAGCTCAACTGAAGCGGGGAAATCTGCCATTCCACCAGGAAGCAGCGATGCGGAGATTCACCGCGAACGTCGTGCAGCTGCTCAATATTGACTGGAACCGAGTAATCCCATGGTGCCGCCGGGTCATAGTGATTGACACGACCATGGGCGGGGTGCTTCGCCGGAGCTGACGGTAAAGCATACGGATGCCAGTCACCAGAGTCGACGCTGCGCTTCAAGCGATTAAGGGTACCAGCAGGTACAGTCTCCTCATCGCTGTCATCATCAAATAGGCCGCTCACTGAGGGAGTGGAGGATGGTGGACGCGCCGCGTGCGGACCGTACGAGCCGCCCTCGTCTTCTTCTTCATCGGAGCTGCCGAAGAGCGGACCACAATGTAGATCTTTCCAGCGGTTTAAAAGTGACACGCCAGACACGTCTGACGCCACCGAAGCATCGTCCGGAGGTGATAACGGCGCGGTGTTCAGCGCAGGCGGCGGAGAAACTGCGGACGGAGCAGAAGCGGGCGAGGCCGCTGAAGACCCAACAGGAGACGAAGGCGACGGCGGCGACGGTAACTGCGGCGACGACGGAGGTGACGGTAGCGAAGGTGACGGGGGTGGCGACGGTGAAGCGGACTGCGCTGTAGCCTGACGGTTTGTGGCCGTTCCCAGTGACGGCCCGGCCAAAGAGGCGCGTGCCAGCCGTGACTTAGTCGCACGAAGCCCAGCAGTAGACTGGAGCCCCACCAAGAGATCACGAGAGGAAGCAGACGGGCGTGATGAAGCCATAGTGACCGCCTCGGGTTGGAACCCACTCAATTCCAGTGAAGCCAGGCCCGTAGGCGAAGATGACACCAGTTCGAGCGAGTCCCTGTTGAGACGGTCGACTTCGCCGTCTGCTGTGCTTTTTCGAGAATGAAGGCTATGAAGAGGCGGCGGTTGCCAGAGGGAGGGTGAGTGTATCCGATTGGGTGATATTAATATCTTATTGTAATGGGTTGTTAGTAGTACTATGGAATATATAGTATTGTAATTAATAAACAGGCAGATGTAGGACGGCTGTGGAAGCTTCTAGAAGCTTCCATCCGTCTGAACTGCGGGGGCGGCACTTTTCTTTTGGCGCGCTCTCCCCCAAGCTCCCCTGACTTCGATAAAGATATTCCATTTTCTATCGTCATTAACAATGTCAAGAAGCGCCAGTATCAGACTCTGATGAACAAAGGCTCCGAGCTCTTTGAAGTCGTGACTTTGATCAATTCGTCCAGGTACACAACGCCGTACATCACTATCATCCCGACACTTGAGCATCTCGATGAGATGGATAACCAATGTACGCAGCTTCCGGATGATGTCGCCGAGTTTTTCCAGGTCAACGCGCCATCGATTGTCATTCCCCCGGAGTGTGTCAATGACATCAAACTCACAGACTATAAGATGCTCGTCAGCGATCTTCGGGATGAGCTTGAGCAGCTGCGCAGTGATAACGCAGCGTTGCGCAGACAAACGGAGGCGCTTATGCAAAAGCCTCAGTTTTTCGAGGTACTGCTCAGCATCTTTAGCGTAGCTTTGGATGTTGCATTAAAAATACTGTTGGTTGTGTAGGATAATACACCTCTTTCTTTTCTTAGGATATAAAAACATCTCTGACAATTACTGTGTCGGACAACAGGCACCGCTGTAAGTGTCTAATAACACGGTCCTTTGCGTCATCCCACACGAACACATCAGAGCCCGGCACCACAAGCCGCTACCTAGTAGTTTGGTGCCCAAAAGTACTCTCGGGCATTGTTTATGTCGACCAGATGCGGAAGCACCGAGGGCAGCGTGTCTTCAGTAATGATGGTCGTCGCCTTCGTGAAGTCATGCAGGGAGTTGACCCATCCATTCTCCAGTCTTATTAGCTTCAAATCGAGGCCTGGATAGCATCTCGAGAGGGCCTTCCAGCCCAACAGCAGTCTGTCAAACCCATGACCCGTGTTAACACTCACATCGGGCTCCATGGTTGCTTGGAGAAAGTCTCGTTGCACTTGGTCATTCACAAGGCGACGCTTCTTTGGATCAGCACTGTCGACCTTTAGTGACGTCCCGAAGAGCCGAAAGTACTCCGCTACGACGGCCCAGGGAAAAGCTTTTTTTCTATGAGCAGAAAAGCTATTTTATAGGCAGGGGGATCAATTATATTCAAGGGACTTCTTTGTATAATCGACAATGCTTTCTACGAAATGAAATTATTTGCGCTCTTTTGTTTTGTATTGTCAACTAGGAGCTGACAATATTTGCAGTAATAAGGTCGTTACATGTGGTTTCGTGTTGTTGACTATAATAAGCTGACGTTATTTCCAGTGAAAGAGCAGGTATTTGTCGCGGTCTTCCTCTAATCGGGGTCGTGAGTATCTTGGGCCGACGTAGGAGGTAGTAGTTTTAGCGACACTACTGGGATAGTAATGCAAAAGTTGATATATTCTTGTGCTGTTTGTTAGAAGGAAATCCACGACTGACCTTCTCATTTCAGCTCGCTAAGAGTTTTTTGAGCTTCTTACCTTTTAGCAGATCCCTCGTGCGTGGCGGTCCAGCTCCAATTCCCGCCACGACCAGCTGCTTCACGACTTCACACTTGAAACGTCACTGTCTTGGTCGCAGGCCCCGCTTGCTTGGACGTGGTCCGGAGAGTCTGGAGTGAGTAGACCTTCTGCAGGCAGTCAGCCAGCATCGTTAATCCACCATCTAACTGTACACTGTGTCAATTCTCCCCGACTGACGCTCGGTGAACTCGCCGAGCCACATCGCCCGGAGCCTGTCGCACGGTGTCTTTCATGCTCAGATCTGGAACGTTCCCACATGACGTTCCACTTGCATTCGGACTCTCGTTCCTTACTCCAGACGACGTTCCTTCGGCCTGCATGCCTCGCAGTCGCTCCACGCTAGCTCGCTCTCTTTCCTCACGACGCTCTATACGACCAGCCAGCCCTTCCCACTTGCGTCTCGCCGCCTTATCCTTCCGGGCTATAGCGATCGGCCGGAGTCCTTCATAATATCGAATCACGTAACCATAGCAACCGACTACTAACACAGCCAAATTTCAGTAGCAACAGCCAATTTCAAACTCCATGTAGACGTCCACGATCAACACAACCAGCGTCACCCCCATCCAGCCACACAGTATTCCTTCAACGCTCTCGTACACCAGGCGGGGCAGGTAGATTAGAATTGACAGTAGTAATGACGTCAGCAAGTAGCTCCCAACGATAAAGTCTCCAACTCTATCCACAACAGCTACCACAGCTTCGCTAGTGGCGCGAGCGTACCGGCCGGACGTTCCTCATAGCAAGAAACTTGCATTTGAAACTTACAGGCAGCACGAATGGTGGAACTCCTTACACCACTTAAGGCACATACGACCTGTAATCCCGAATCGGGACTCGTAGTCCTGTAACACCGCGACAGGAACCAAGAACAGTAGCTTCACTAGCGCGCACGCGTACTCCGGGGGTGGCACAGCTGCGGCATGGGCATTTCGAGCCGCCACCAGGTAGCGATCGCAGCAAGTGTACCAGAAAAAGTAGATGGCACGCACGTTCTCGATCGTTCCGTCGAGGAACGCCCACGACACGTTCCGCAAAGGCGTCGTTGCAATCCAGATCACATTCCCCATCACAGCGCTGCCGACGACCCTCATCGCGTCCGCCACTTCGAACTCTATCGCCCAGTTCGCCAGTTTTGCCCATTTCGCAAACGCCCCCAACATCGCCATCGACTGTCAAGTGGCATCGCCACAACAGCAGCTCCTGCAGACCGTTAGCCGTTAGGAAGGTTCTTCAACCGACACCTTGTCCGCCCAAGTCACCAGACATCATTGCGTCCCTCAGTCAACGCCACGTCTCAATTGTCGAACCTTCTCGCGTGCCCCTTGGCAGCCATCAAGTAAAATCTTTCAGTTTTCGAGTTTCTCTCATTTCGCATTCCGCTCCCGCCATGTCCACGCGACTTTCCGCCGCCTAACTGAGGCGCTTCCGGGCGTTCTCCAACGCCGCTCTCGACCATGAAGAGCAGGGCACCCAGGGGGACACTGCGCGAGCCTTCTAGCAGCAGTTTTGGACCGAGCTGCGCGCGCGCCTGGGCGCTAATAGCATGTCGTCGGGTCTCCAGTTCCTGGACCAGCTCGCCGAGGACATCCTGAATGGTCGGACCGACGCTTCGCTCCAAGGAACCGTCGTGGCCCTCCCCGCGCCGTCAGACTCCGCTCCCTCTTCCGGCTCCGCTACGGCGTCAACAACGTCGTCGGGCAAGCAGTCGAAGTCGCCTTTTAAGAGGACACCCAAGTCGCCTAAGTCACCAGCGCGAGGCAAGCGTAAGTCCAGCGGAGACGACTCTACTTCTACGTCGTCCGCGAAGAAGGATCGCGTTGTCAGCAAGCTTAAGAAGTCGAACGTTCCATCCAGCGAGTTTGGTCATCTTCTCGACGTGAGCCGCACTGCTCCAGCTCCCGTTCGTCGGGTAATTGCTGCCATCTTGGCGAAGGCAGAGGCCCTTGGTAAGAAGCCCTGGCGCCTCGCGTACCCTTGGACCGGACGTCCCATGTGGTACGATCCAATCAAGTTCAGTCAAGTATACCGCGCGCACTGGCGTTTCTGTATCACCCATCGCCGTGCTTTCTGGGAGTGGGCCCTACACGCCCCTCTTGCCACGGCCGCGGCCATGACTCAGCGTCGTAAGCTGAAGATGCGCGCCGTTCAATCCCGCTGGGCCTTCACCTGCCTTTGCATTGAGACATGGGGCTTTTATGCCTTCCTCGAGAGGTTGGAGAAGCGTCCTGAGATGTATTGGATCGGGGGCCAGCCCGGCAGAGCCACTCGCGATGGCCGCCCCTACAACGGATTCATTGCCGAGGACCTAGCGACCCTGAAGCAGAAGGACAAGGAACGCTATGACGCCACGCTCGAGAACGCGCTGGACCCATCGACTATCGACACTTACGGGTACCCCAGCATGCGTTCTTTGTTTGAGTCTACGGACGCGCTGAGTCCGGCCGCAGACGAGAAGAGCCGGCTCTCCCTCGCTGCCCTAGCTCGAGCTCGCCGCGACATCATGTCAAGCACGAAACCAAACGTGACTGGGGCTGGTGAGGCGAACGAGAAACCGTGGCAGACGCTCGTAAACGATCACGCCGTCAAGCCGGCTCGAGACGACATCATGGCCCAGATCAACGCGGGGACGTACGAAGTCCCAGCAGTCCGTCCACCGTCCAGTACGGAACGTCGCCGCGACGAGTGGTCCGAGTTCGAAGATGAAGGCGAGGACGAAGAGAAGGAAGCTGCGGGCGAAGGCGACGACGCTGCTGGTTACGACGACGAGGAGTCCGAAGCCGCCGACGACGAAGACGAGCAGGAAGGGGAGGAATTCGTCGAGCGCGAGGACGGCGACGAGGAAATCGATAAGGACGAAGATGAGGACGACCTGAAGAAGGCCCCGGAGATTCTTCAGTCTTTTGCGCTGTAGCCGTTCGTAGCTCTCGTTCCTTTTTAACCGTAACGCTCCGTCGTTTCTCGTCGTCGTGTCTTGTTCCTTTTCCGTCGGCTCTTCGTTTCTATCGTCAGCGAATCTCTCTTAAAACGCTTCTTCTCGTTCCAAACCAGCGCATCCGAGCTCCCTCAGACTCCAAACTACCGCTTCATAAACTTCCTCACTTTCCAGACTGATGCTTCACAAACTCCTTCACGTTCCAAACTGATGCTTCACAAACTCCTTCACGCTCCACCCCGACACACTCAGTCTTGGTATGCTCGTGACGTTCTCAAAATATCCAACCCCGTAAAACCCAAAGAACAACCCGTGGTCGTTCCAAAACAGAAAATATGTACACGTCACTCAGTGTTCGAAGCCTCAGCGAGCCCCAAACACTCCCGTGCAGTCCCACAACTGCACGCATTCTAACCGGCTCCTGTTGCCAGCTAGAGCAGCACCTCAGCATCGTCGACATCAGCATTGGCTTCGACCAATCTGACGTTCCGACGCAACTCCGGCAGACCTCTCTTCTTCCGATCTGCCTCAAAGGCACGTATCATCGTTCCAAACTCCGGTGCCAACGCCGCTCGAGACAACCAGAACGTCTCATACGTGGCGGTGAGTACGAGATACTGCAACTCACGCTTTTCGACTCTCTACGCGATCACGTCCACTATCGGCGACGACACTCTCGAGAACGCAGTTTCTTCTTCGCCAATAGAGAGACGTTTCACAAAGCTCGTTGACGGCAGGTCCTCGACGACCTGTACCGTCCTCATCCTCTTCTTCTTCGACTCTGTCAGGCTTCTCGTCTGCGTAGGGTCGGCTCCAGCGTCCTTGAAAGCGCTTCAGACGGTTGACGTTCACCGTGACGACCTTGTTCGGGTGCGTCGGGATCGCGATCCTGTAGGCGTTCTCCCCGACTTGGCCAACAACACGGAAGGGACCATGCCAGGAGAACGCCAGCTTCTTCTTCTTGCGTTCCCCCACTCGGGCTCTAAAGTACTGGTACACCCAGGCAGCGTCTCCTTCTGCATATGTCACCTTCACTTGGTTGTCCTACCTCTGCTCGTGTCGATCCTGAGCCTTGAGTAGTTGTCGTTCCACAAGACGACGAGAGTCACGCAACGAGCGATACAACTTCCGGCGGTACGTCGCAACTTCGTTAATCTTCCAGTCCCTTCCCGTGTTTAGGAACGCCAAGTCAATAGGTAGAACAGGATCACGTCCATACAGACTAAAGAACGGGGTGTCACCGAGGCCTTCGTGATATGCCTCCGGTACGCAAATAGGACCCTTGGCACGTACACGTCCCAATCCGTCTGCGTCTCGTTCACGAACATACGTAGCATCCCCATCAACGTTCCGTTGAAACGTTCCACCAACCCTTGTGGCTGCGGGTGGTACGCCGCTCCGAACAACTTATTAATCCCCAACGTCTGATACAGTGACTTGGCCAGATTGGACGTGAAGTTGGAACCACGATCACTTAGTAGACGTTCCGGTACTCCATGTCGGCAGATATCGCCCTCTATCACTCCTTTCACAAACGAGATCGTGTCCAACGAAGCGACCGCAAATGCCTCGACCCATCTTGTGAAATAGTCCACAAACACCAGGATGTACTTGTTGCCACGAGGAGTGACGACCAATGGTCCAATTGCATCGACTACAAGTAGCGAGAGCGGGCCAGACAAGTCCTGAACTGGCATCCGTTGCATCAGTCCAGCTCTCCACGGTCTACGTCCCTTTCCTCCACTGCAGATAGAACATTCACGCACGTACTCGATCACGTCCTTCCTCCACCCATGCCAATACGCGTGGCGTCTCACCTTGTCCGTCGTCTTCGTTCTCCCTAAGTGAGCTGAGAAGATGTCTGCGTGACAATAGTGCAGGACCGTCTCAATGAACGGTAACGGGACAGTTGGAACGCACACAGTTCTGGCTGGACCGGCACGTGCTCCTAGGTGTACGAGACGTGCCAGAACTCCGTTTCGAATCAAGTAGTGCGGAGACATCTTCAGCACACTCACTCTCAGTTGTGGATCAAGAGCCAAGGCTCCATCTTTCAGGAACGCCTTCGGCGCTCGCAGCCAGGGCACACGTTCTTACTCAGCCACGAACTTGTCATAGTTCAGCTCAAACACGTCAATCGGTGATGAGCTCGCCTGTAGAGCTCTCTCGTGTGAGTCTTTCTCCTGCTCCGCTTGCGTGAGAGGCTCGACAGCTACGGACGCATCTTCTGTCTGTTGGTTACTTCTCTCAGTCTCTCGGTTAGGATCCGTAGTCTCGGCAGGCTCCCCGACTGGGATTGGAAAGTCGGTGGCGTTCCTACCCAGCGTTCCGTTTAAGGCTTGCGTTCCCGATTGAGTCTGCGCTTCGTCCGAAGTCGGCACTTGTAAGCCAGGAGTCTCTTCCTCACTGTCGTTGAGAAGGTCCGCCATTCTGATCGCGCTAACAATACCAGCATCCGGTCGGTGATACAGTCTCGACAAACCATCAGCGTGTCCCATCGACGTTCCAGGCTTGTGGTATATCTTAAACCGTAGCTGCGACAGCTCCATGGCCCATCGTGCCAACTTGGCGTTTGACGTTCTTGTTGTCTCGCCGCAGATCCACGTTAGAGCTTGATGGGCTGTGTACAGATCAAATTCCGCGTGACTCAGATAGCACCGGAGCTTGCGTGTCGACCATACGATTCCCCAGCACTCAATTTCGGTCGTTCCACTAGTCTTGTTAACCCAGTTCCGTTGCGATCCAACCAGCATCTTACTCGCGTACGCGATCGCCCTGTCTGTCTTGTCGACCTCTTGCATCAGACATGCTCCCACCGCTAAATTTGACGAATCTACCAAGAGCTTAAACCTCTTCTTGAAGTCTGGATACACCAGTATCGGTGGTTTCACTATTAGTTGTCGGAACGCGCCCTCGCAGTCCTCGTTCCATCTGAAATCGACGCCCTTCTGCTTCAAGCGTTCCAGCGGCGCAGAGATTGCAGCGAATCCCGGTATGTAGCATCGAAAGCAGCTTGTGAGACCCAGAAATGCTCTAACCGTGTGCAAGTCATGCGGCCTCTCGATGTTCATGACCGCTTTTTCCTTCTCAGGGTTCGGTAGTATTCCAGTCGGAGTCACGATATGCCCTAGGAACGCCACTTGCTCACGTCTTTAATGGCACTTCTTCATCTTTAACCTGAACCCTGCCGCTCGGAAACGTTCCAGGACCCGGCGTACCCGAATCAAATGGGTCGGAAAGTCGTCACTGAAGACAACGCAGGCGTCTAAGTAGACGAGCACGTCCTCCACTTAAGATCAACGAGAACGTTCTCCATCAGTCGCTCAAATGCAGGCACATTACACAAGCCAAACGGCATAACCAGCCACTCGTAGAGGCCGAATTTGCTCGTGAAAGCCACTTTTCCACGCTGTCGAGATCCATTGAAACGTTCCAATATCCCGAAGCGATGTCCATAGTGGAGAAAAGCTTCGCGTTCCCCAGAACGTCCAGGATGTCGTCGATCAAAGGCATTGGGTATCTGTCCTTCACTGTCACCGCGTTTAGCTTCCGATAATCGATGCAGAATCTTACGCCACCATCAGGCTTCCGTATCATCAGCACAGGACGGACCCACGGGCTTGTCGACGGTCTGATAAGTCCGAGATCCAGGTACTCTTGAATCTCTGCTTCCATGACATCTCCTTCAGCTTTCGACACTCTGTACGGAGGCTGTTTAATAGGCGCGTGTCAATACTGAATCGTAGCAGGTCCGTCCTTCCTGGCTTCTTTGAAGTTTCGACGAATAAGTCTCTCAGGTCCTTCAACATCTTCGCGAAAAGACCCCTCTGTTCTGCTCCGAGTGACGATTCTTCGAAGTCCACTTCGAAGTCGTCCTCCTCGCTGTCGTCCATGGCGGCACTCATCTCAGCCTCGATCGTTCCAACTTCAGCCGTCACGTTCCCTTTCACCATACTCAGCACTGTGCTTACGTTCCTCGTCGTTTCATCTGACTTAGAGGCTCTAGTTGCGAACGCCGACTTGGGAACGATGGTTACAGCAGCGATGTACGCGCCAGACTTGATCTCAACCTCTTCCGCGGAAGCATTACACACTTCGACTAACACCGTTCCATCTGTCACGGTACACAACGTCCTCGCGATTCTCAAAGACTCGTCCGTTCCGGGAGCGCCTCGACCAACACAACTGAGTGGTCCTTCATCGCTCCGCGAACGCTCGATCTCACTAAGGCCTGACGTCCGAGTTTCAAACGCACCGTCGACGATATCGTAGCCGCGTAGGTTTCTTCTACCCTTGTCGCACCCAACGGGATTACGTCTCCCGTCTCCTTCAGTGTCATCGACTGCTCCCCGAGGTCGATCACAGCGCGGAACGCCCTTAGCAAGTCCGTTCCAAGAATTGCGTCCACGAACAAGTGGTCAGTCACGACGAACGCAAGCGTTTTCTCCAGCGTTCCAAGCGTGACGGGCAAGTCGATAACCCCACTAACGCGAATCTTGTGCCCCGAGACACTATCCAAGCCCCCAGTATAAGATCGTAGAGGTTCGGATGCTCGACCGAGACGCTTCAGCATGCGTTTGTCGACAAGACTGGCGACCGCACCTGTATCAGCCAGCAGTTCGGACGGGCAGCAATCGATAAAGCCGTCCGACAGCGCTTGCACACCTCCGACGCTGCAGATGACACGCTTGCCATCCGACACGACACTTTCACCGTCGCCGAAGACATCATCGCCGCTCACTTCGCGCAGCCCAGGGCTTCTTTGCGGCTTGGGAGCTCTTCTCACGTATAGGAAGTCGACCTCGAGCTCCTCTTCTCCTATTTTGGGATCTCCGTCCTCGATAGTCACACCGAAAGTCACTCTCTTCCTAGAACTTGTCCCAACGGTCGCAGCCACTATTTTCGACGTCTTGTCTCGTCTGTCGCACAACTTGTCGCGAATAACGGAAGCTTCTCTCCCGAAATAGTATCGTGGCCAG